AAAAATAGATCAGAATTTATCATATTAATTGGTTATATTGCATTATCAATCAGCGGGTATAGTTCAAACATATACTAGGGCCAACATGACATTATGACACGGCGGTCTCAATCGATGCCCCGATAGTGTAGATTACATCAAGTGATATAGAATAAGTCGGTCACTCAAACGTGTTCCATTTTGTAACAACAAATCTGGTCGACCTTGTGGAACATTTACTTAGCATATATGCATACCATTAATTAATTAAACATGTACTAATTAATTAATTAATTAATAGGAACGAGGGCTCATTTTAGGTGAATTTATGGCTATTTAGATTTTTTGGCGGTCATCATTCTGGTACAAATTCAAGGTGTCTCAAATGTAAATTTCAATCAGACCGGTGTAAATTACCAGAATCCGTTAAGAAAATCTTGACGTAAAAAACGGTAATTATTGCAATACCCTGACGTACCTATACAGGTTTTAATGGATCTTTTATTCTTGGTGTAATAATGGAATGTACATGGTACTGCTTATATAAAGTCGCTGTCCATACATGTTAATTTTATGTTATCTTTTCCCATTTCATACTTTTGTATACTAAAATATTATTCTCCCAGTAATCTATTTTCACCATATTACAAGTATTTTATTCATTTGTTTGTAAAGAGTTTGCGGTGATTTATGTTGTAAGCAGTTCAATGGCCTCTGACATGAACATAAAATGGATACTTACTGTGCTAAATTTGTGTCATTGGTAGTGTGGACAGATTATATGCGTGCTATCGAATTCTTACAGACGAGGGAATTATACAAGGATACTACAGTATATAAATCGACGGTAAGCCATCTTACGTCAAAGTCACAATCAGGGTGAAGTTAGTTATGTTGTTTACAACTGCAAACTGTACAGCATTGTTTACACAACAATTTGTTTATGTTGTTCATAGCAACCTAGTTAGCATTATTTATGCAATTTACACTAGCCATCTGGATACCATTATTCACGTTGTTTAGACTAGAAATGTAGCATTGCTTACACTGACAACCTGGGTGTAATCCAGCAACTTGTATTCCGTTTCGTAAAGGATTTTTTTATAGCTTTTTAATATTAGATTGGACTTTTACTGAAGACGTTGTGTTTTAACGTAGTTCATATATTATTTGACAGACTTACCACGATCCACCCTCATCGTTCCCATGTGACGTAGATATACCATTGAACAGGACGGACATTAACGGTAAGTGTGTCACGTATTCAGCTACAATTGTTCACAAACAATTATGTTATTTTAAAACTCATTGATTTTCATCTTTCAGTACATTCACTGCGTCCTTCTGATATCAAAGTGATCGGTGCGATGGGAGATTCCTTAACTGTGAGTCGTCAATTGTTATTATGGTCTAATATTTTAAAAATAACCGTTAGCTGCAATGTTTAGTAACAATGAAAATACCAGCCGTGAAGCTGTGGTCACACGATAAGGCAATACATTAACATCAAAACACCAGCTCAATATTAATTGAACACACAGCATAACATAGTCGTCGGGAGTTATACTAGTGCTACATTGCGAAATATAACACGAAATGAACAAATAATAACATGTATGTATAGAATTCTAAATATTTCAGATCGCTTATAATCCCAAACAATCCTACGCTATAATGGTGCGTGTCACGACGATAACACAATATAACATAATAATACGTTGAGTGGTCCAGTGGTTTAAATATACATATATGTGTAACTATTTATTTATTTATTTTCTTTCCAGGCTGCCTATGGAGCCCTAGCAGAAAATATCATTGATCTAGTTTTTCCGCTTTGGGAAAGTGAGGAGGCCAGAGGTGTGTCATTTAGCGTCGGAGGCGATCCAAATCCCGTCAATGGAACCACTGTCACCTTACCAAGTACGTAACTGACATATATAACCATATTGTAATGGTACCACTGTCACCTTACCAAGTACGTAACTGACATATACAACCATATTGTAATGGTACCACTGTCCCCTTACCAAGCACGTAACTGACATATATATTGTAATGAAACCACTGTCACCGTACCAAGTACGTAACTGACATATATAACCATATTGTAATGAAACCAGTGTCACCTTACCAAGTACGTAACTGACATATATAACCATATTGTAATGAAACCAATGTCACCTTACCAAGTACGTAACTGACATATATAACCATATTGTAATGGTACCACTGTCCCCTAACCAAGTACGTAACTGACATATATATTATAATGAAACCACTGTCACCTTACCAAGTACGTAACTGACATATATAACCATATTGTAATGGTACCACTGTCCCCTAACCAAGTACGTAACTAACATATATATTGTAATGAAACCACTGTCACCTTACCAAGTACGTAACTGACATATATAAACATATTGTATTGGTACCACTGTCACCTTACCAAGTACGTAACTGACATATATAACCATATTGTAATGGTACCACTGTCACCTTATCAAGTACGTAACTGACATATATAACCATATTGTAATGGTACCACTGTCACCTTAGCAAGTACGTAACTGACATATGTAACCATATTGTAATGAAACCACTGTCACATTACCAAGTACGTAACTGACATATATAACCATATTGTATATATAACAAGCATATTGTTATTTTTTTCATGTAACAATCCCTTTTTGTTCTATAAGCCATTTTAATGCAGTACGAATCGGAGAATGAATTGGTTGGATACTCTCTTGGCAGAGGGGGTATTAATGACAAAGGTTCAAATTTAAATGTAGCTGTCGGTGGAGCAACATCCTAGTAAGTAACACGTTAATGAAAACGAATTCTTGTATAACGTCTTCCCTGGTTATTGTTAGTTTTATAATTTCCGTGATTATGTGTTGTAATCTGGTTTTGGCATGGTATATGAGATCGAGGTACCAACGGACAAGGATAATGAAGCGTAAATAGGTCTTCAATTTTATATCATTAATAAGGTAAGGTAAGGCTTTTTCTGTCAGTTTTGTGGATGCGTCCATGTACGACTACAAATTTGACAAGTGGTAACGTCTGAATATTGACATAAGGCACCATTTATTATTAATTTTTAAGTCTTGACGCATGCGCCTTACTACAAAGTCCGCTACTAGGAAAACCACATCGCATCACATCTAGGTACTGTGAAATGACTGATTAAAACACCTTTCATTATTTCTATTGTAAATAAATGCTAGCTGGTTCACAAATCCTCGTCAGCATGAACATAAAAAGTCAAATTCTCCCCAGCAAACATCACACTGTAAGTCATGGACCGTCGCATACACAATCATGTGGTATGATGCTGAATTTGTTTTCATTATAGTGATATGCCAGAGCAAGCCCTGATTTTGATTGAGCGAATGAAATCGCGTCCTGAGATCAACTATTACCATGATTGGAAAGTGGTGACATTATTCATTGGTGGTAATGATCTATGTGGTTCATGTCGTAATCCAGAGAGATTTACTGCACAGAATTATATCAACAACGTACGTAAGGCCCTGGATATTATGCACGCCGAGGTTAGTGTTTGAACAAATATTTGTAATATTGCGTACATGTGAATCATAGTAGAACTACGACGAGGTCTCCATCACTGTTGTTGATATATTGGTGGGTGGCGTACTTATCTAATATTATTGTGAAAACTATACATCCAATGAACAACAAATGCAAACAAGAAACCTTAAGTATGGCAGGTGGTAATATGAACAGCTTAATCCCATTCGAATTATGTATAGGAAGACAAATTTAACAAATTGTATATATCACTGACTAGAAAGTGAGTAAGAATGTCTAGAGGAATATATATTCGATAACAAAAAACAAAGAATTCCAATGAAACTTCTACATATGATGTTGATTAATACATTTTCACTGAATGATGAATTAATAATATGTTCACAAACCAAACTTTTTGAAGAAAATATTACAACAATCTATGTCGTCTGTTTTTAATTCTAAACTGTGATTCTGGCACGACGTCTAGCAAAGGAATGCCGTAAACAAATGTCAAACTGATAAATGTTTTTTAAGAAACTTAAAATGATCACATATTGCTTGTGAATTGTTTATTTATTGATTAACCTGACACAGAGACTTAAAAATGGTTATATAATTGCGTGTGTAATAAATAGGATCAACATTATATGGTGGAGTAGTAAATTAGGCCATTATTAATTTACTGACTTGAAGACATTGTAATAAACATATCCACAATTTGACATTTTTAGACACAAAATATATGTAACAATCATGAATTGCTGGAGACGTCTTTTAAGAAAATCGGCTTTGTTTATTTCCTGAAGTCATCTTTATTTTTTCATGCGCAGTGATTATTTTGTGTCATTTAGGTAGATAACGATATACTTTATTTTGAAGTGGTATGTTGTATTTGTTACAAGTCTGAATGTTCGTATATCACCGAATGATATCGAATACACGACATGTTTTTAATGCATATTTACAAATCTACCTCTGTGCGACATTACGTGCCTTTTCATTTGTTTAAAGACTTCGATTTGAGACATTTCTACTAGACTAATTGTAGCATAGTAAATAAGACCATTTGAGTATGATATATTGTCGGTTTGTTAGTCACATTATGAATAAGACCATCGTTGTATGGTGAAGTATACACAAAGACTGTTGCTGTTGTTTTGTGGCCCAGTAACTTAGATATCTGTTAATTGATAGCGTTGGTCGCTAACACTGAGAGCAACTAATACTTTTGGCGTTGGTTTGTGATGTAGTTACATTTTATGCTTTAGGACATACGACGACCTGTTTGTCATTTGTTATTTGTTGGGGTCTTTGGGGTAACTGTGGTGTGGTGGCTATAAGGATCAGAGGTTGTGGGCGCACGGGAGTTGTGGTGATTCAACGATCATTGGTTGGTGAAACGGTAAGTGTGGCTTCAACAAACATGTGTGAGGTGCGATAACTGTGGTATGGTGGCTTCAATGACCATTTGTTTTAATATGTCTTACCCTCTTCTTAGCTGCCGAAAACGTTTCTCAATCTGGTGTCAGTATTGAAGGTAACAGAAATTAACAAAATGGATAGTTTGGTTTGCAATATAGTTCACAGGTATGTATATTCTTAAACACCTTTGAACACAATTTATGTTATACTATCCAGTTCATAGTAGTACTATGGATTCCATTTCAAAGTAGAGTCGCTACAGTCGTCGAGTCTTGTCCCATGAGACGTGCATAACCCGAATACATTTATTTACATGAAATGTGTTTATTCAAACATGCAGGTTTGCGTGCAGTTGTGCCAAGGCTTCTCAATCAGGTAACGAGAGTGTGGCGGAAATATCGAAATTGACACGGTGAATACCAGGTAAGTCATTTCTCTGATGGAACAAACGAATGAACGAACTCGATCGCTCACTCGACCATCCTGACAGACGGTGATGGACTATGTTATGTGATTACAGTACATGTGTATGTTATATATATCATCTTTAGGTGTTATATGTTATGTACTGATACGAAATCTATTTATTCTCATTTTAGAAATTGACACGCGAGTTAGTCAACTATGGACGATATGATACACGTGATGATTTCACTGTTGTTGTGCAGCCATTCTTTGAAGATACCGGATTGCCGTGGAATGAGGAGGTAATTGGCAATTTATAACCTATTCATTGAACTTTAAATCAACTAAAATCGAACATACTAAATTTCACTACCATGACTGTTGGAATCCTGTAATTTATTACCAGCATCCATCGGTTGTATTCTGTTATAATGGGGCGTTTCAAATACCATGATCGAACGCATATTCAAATAAACTGACGTAGTAATTATTTGAATATAAATTTGTCATTGACAAACAGTAACGTTTAGTTCCCTAGAATCGACGTACTTTTATGAAAATTAACAGTCCAAAAAACGCATTATCCAGGATCCAAAACAGGTATACGCATATACTCCAGGTTTACGTGCATATGTATTTATTAAATTCTTGATCATTAATATTATTTCAGACCCAGGAATGGGATGACAGTATAATGTCCCCCGACTGTTTCCATTTTAGTGAACTCGGGCACAAACTTAGTGCTGGGGGACTGTGGAACAATATGGTAAGCCAGTAATTGTAATGTGATTAATGCGCCGATGTGTAATCAAGTTCATGAAACCTATTCCCAAATTGATTTGATATTATGGCATTAGATCGGAATTATCATCAGATATATTTGAATGCGTTCGTAATCAACACATTTATATCAGATATACTTTTATTTATTTTTTAATTCTGGCAATTT